ACTCCTGCCTGGACACATTCCCTGGGAGGTTTGGGCAGGTACCTCCTCGGCTTTGAGAAGGCATCGGCAACGAGAGGATTAAGTGAGGGCCACAGCCGGCATTCACTGGGCTTCAAGAGCACCCCAGAACCTCCAAGAGGATGTTGCAGCTGCTGTGTGCCACCTACCCCGTGGGTGGGCCTTGGCGCTATTAGATAATGTAATCTTTATAACATAGAGGAATATAATGTTAGCTGCTGTCAAGTCATCTCCAACTCACAGTAATCCCACGCACAAAGGAACGAAACAGTACTCAGTCCTGCACCATCCCTGTGACTGGTTTCAGGTCAGACCGCTGTGATCCATAGGTTTTCACTGGCTAATTCTCTGAAGTAGATTGCCAGATCTTTCTTCGTAGCCCATCTTAGCCTGGAAGCTCCACTGAAACCTGTTCAGCTTCATAGCAACACACAAACCTCCACTGACAGACAGGTGATAGCTGCACATGAGGTGTATTGGCCAGGAATCGAACCCTGAGCTGCATGGGAGGCAAGAATTTTACCACTGAACCACCATTGCCCCCAGAGGAGTGTGATATTAGCCCCATTTTACGATATAGAAACTGAGTCTTGGTATGATGGAGGAGTTTCATATGGCCAAGCAGGTTGCATGGTCCCACTCAATCCTTTGTGCCATACTTCTAGATCAGTCTCCTACAACAACTGCTAAAATGCTTGGGGAGGTGGAAAGTGACCACCCTGGAAAGGCAACTGATTCTTACTCCAAAACCAGTTGCTGTGGAGTTAACTGTAACTCATGGTGACCCCTGTATGTCAGAGTAGAACTATGCTATGGAGGGGTTTAGTGGCTGATTTTTTGGAAGTAGATTGCCAGGCCTTTCTTCTGAGGCACCTCTAGGTGGACTTTAACCTCCAGCCTTTAGGTTAACTTACCCACTGGTCTTGGATTTCTCATCAACCTTGAAAACTACATATCATCAACTCCATTTTTCAGATGAGAGAGAGGCCATTTCCCCAAGATCAGGTTAATCCTGGCCTCTGTTTCCCAAAGGGCAAACTTTTCCACCCACCCCACTGGCTTCTTCCCTACAACCTGTGAGGACCATTTGCCTGACTAACCAACCAACTAACCCACTGCCATAGAGTCGATTCTGACTCATAGCAACCCTTATTGGGTTTCCAAGGCTGTAAATCTTTATGAAAGTAGATTGCCTCATCTTCCTTCTGCAGAGTGGCTACTGGGTTTGAACTGCTGACCTGGTTAGCAGCCAAGTGCCTTATCCAGTACACCACAGAGCACCTTGTTTACCTGACTGGGGATTACCAAATACTAAGGATAACATTCCAGCCCAGGAAAAGGCCACCATAGAGCTCACTCATGATTAAAAGTAATAATGCAAGTTAACTTTTTCCTGTTGTGAAGGAAAAGTAATTTACATAAATATTTATCAAGAGTAAGAACTGGGACACAAAAATTCAAAAAATTCATAAAATTCCATAAACACCAGTTCTAGAATCAGAACAGAAAACAATCCTTAGCTTTAAAAATAGCCTTCCCCTGTGGAGGAATCTAGATGGAGATATTATTCTTTATCTTTCACATTTTCTATTCTAAACATCAATTTCTTTTTATTAAGCAGATTTTCTAATTTATCACATTTGATTGTGTGTGTGTGTGTGTGTGTGTGTGTGATTCTAGAATGAATACATGCTTCCTGGAGAAATGTCAGAAAGTATGAAAAAAAGGAAGAGAATTAAAGCTCCCCTCACCTTCCCACAGCTGGCATTTAAGAGGACCCCCTTCCAAATCATGTCTTGCATGATGGGTCGGGGCGTGTTGGGGAGTAAAACTTGGGATCAGAGTGTGCTCACCATTTTGTGACCTTTTTCCCCCCATGCAACAATATGTCAGCAACATCTTCCCGTGTCATTAAATATTCCACAGCCTGTTTTAATGCCTAATTAACATGCACTTACTTCTGGAAGTTTAGAAACATATTTGCAATTGGAGAAAATCTCTAATTTTGGGGGCATTTCTCAGTGCAGACGGTGGTCAGCTTCTGTGAACCATCCATAGTTCTCATCTTGCAGTCGCAGGCCTTAGGGGGTTCCCTTCCCTCTGCTTAAGGGTGACAGAAGAGTGGGCCATTGTTTAGTAGCTTGAACTTAAAGCTCCAGAGGGTTTTTTTGGCTGATTTTTTGGAGGTAGATTGACAGGCCTTTGTTCCAGGCTGTGTCTGAGTGGACTGAAACCTTCAACCTTGTGTTTGCAACAGCTAAACCTCTTTGGAAAGGGGAGAGGCAGCTGCACACAGTGTGGTAACTCACTCAAGGTCTCCTCTGCTTTATTGTTGTGAGCAGCTTTTGAGTCCCCAACTCATGGAGACCCCACATACAACAGAACAAAACACCGCCACATCCTATGCCATCTGATGACCTCGCTCAAGCTAAGATGCCCAGAGATGTGCCTCCAGGGCCTGCCCAGGGGGTGCTTCTCACAGCTCCAGGCAGAGCCGTGAAAGGAGCAGAGGAACGCCAAGGCACCTAGCCTCCACCATCTGCTCATGGTGCCCCTTGGGGCCCTACTGGCAGCCACATTACAAACACCCCAGGGAAGCTGTCAGTGCAGCCAGACACAGTCTCCTGTGGCATTCTGGGAGGAGGACAAGTTGAGGAGGGGGCAGGATAAGAGCAGTCTGATACCCCATGCTGACAGCCTCAGTTTCCTTTTATGCTCAACTGCCCTCTTCCCAAGTCTCATCCAGTGCACTGTTGTTGTTAGCTATTGTCAAGTTGGCCCCCAACTCATGGTGACCCCAGTTTACCGCCCCAAAAAAACCAGTTGCCTTCAAATTCATTCTGACTCATGGCAACCCCGTGTGTGTCAGAGTAGAACTGAACTCCACAGGGTTTTCTGTGGCTAATTTTTCAGAAGTAGATCACCAGGCCTTTCTTAAGGTGAGGTGTGGTGGGCTCAAACCTCCACCCGTGCAGTTAGCAGCTGAGCGCTCGTTAACTATTTGCACCACCCAAGGACCTGCCCCTTCTCTGCACACTTCCTGGCTCAGCTGCCACTTAGTTAGGACCAGCTCTCAGTGGCCTCCTGACTGTGCTGCTTCCTCGCCTCAGGACATGGCCACCGTGCAACCACACAGGTGTCCAGACCCACATTGTGGAGTTATCACTGAGCCCTTTCTCCATCAGACACCTACACCAATCCACCAGCAACCCCTCCCACTCCACCTCCAAGATCTTCCCAAAACCCACCACTTCTCCCTCCACAACACCGGGGTTTCACTCCTGCAGGAGCTCCCCATTACCACTCTGCTCCTGCTTATGTTCCCCGCTCTTGCGCTGCTGCCACTCTGCTCTTACAATGAAAATAAAGCCTTTATAACAATGAAGATAAAACCCAAGGTTCTGCCCTTGACGGACAAAGCCCTTCACGGACTAGCCCATCTACCTTACAGAGCTCATTCTAAGTGTCTCTGCTGCCTAACAAACCATCCCAGTACTCATGACATAAAACAATAGTCATTTAATTTGCTCATGAATCTGTAATTGGTGTGGGGCCTGGGAGGGAAGGCATGTCTCTGCTCTCCATGGCATAAAATAGGGTCCCTCAGCCAGTGCTGGAGTATCAGAGATGATGCACTCAGTGCTGGCCATTGACTGAGTGCTCAGCTGCAGTGGAAAATAAGGGGCCCTTAGTTCCTCTCCGTGGGCTACTTGGGCTTCCTCACAGCATGGTGGCTGAATTCTAACAGCAAGTGTCCCAAAAACAGGAAGTAGAAGCTACCAGTCTCTTAAAGCCTGGGTTCAGAAATTGGTGTAGTCATTTCCCCTGGATTCCATCGGTTGAGAAATCACCGAGCTCAGATTCAAGGCATGGGGGTGCAGACTCCACCTCTCAATCAGTAGTGTCACAGATATTTTTCAAGCACCCAACACCTCATCTCCCATTACTGTCCTCTTTCCTGCTTGGGCTCTAGCCACATGGGCCTCCCTGAAGTTCCTTGTAACTGTCAAGCATGTTCTCACTTCAGGACCTTTGGACTTTCTCTTACTTCTGGCTGAAATGCTCTTCCCCTAGATATACAGGTGGCTGCTCAGATTCCCTGCTTCAGAGGCCTCTCCTGCCCACCTTTTCTAAAGTAGTAGCCAGCCCATCTGTCCTTCTCTAGACTCTGCCTCTTTGTTTCTTTTCTTAGCCCAGACACCACCCAGCATCTAGATCAGTTTGTCTCTGTCTCTGGCCTGGAGGCTTTTGGAAGGCTATCTCCTTGGTGACTGTGATAGTCCCTGCATACAGTGCTTCTCAGGAACTAGTTGTTGAATGGTCTCCCTGACTTGACCTCTCAGCTCCTTGAACCCCTCATCTCATAGCTATAGGGTTTCTCCTAAACACACACTTCAGTCACTCCTGGACTATAACCTTCCTTGGCTCCCCGCTGCCCCCAAGAGCAAGTATCCCAGTCTATATTCCTTATTCTGCCTCTCCAGGCCTTCCCATCCCACCTCCACAGCCCAGTGGCTCATGGCACCACCCCCACTCCCAGGTTCTACTCAAAACCACAAATCACCCTCTTTTAATCACATATTCCAGCCCCACCCATGCCCACAGTGTCTTTCCTTTCATTTGTCCAGCAACTCCTATTTTAAAATCAAAAGCTGCCTCCTCCAGGAAGCCATTCCAGATCTCACCTGGGTTACACACCTCTCCAGTGATCCCACAGGCCCCTTTTTGTCCAATGTGTGCATCAGCTATACAATCTGTCGCCCCTAGTATGAGATCTCCCTGGTCTGGCAAACGATTATTCAGTGAATGCTTATGAATGACTGAATGATGGAATGGCCAAATCCTTGGACTTCAGCCTCTGCCTACAACACTTTGTGGGTAAAAAAAAATCTTTATTGACAAATAGGTTGCAATTAAATAGAGTGATGGTTTGTTGGGGAATAAAAAACTCAAGGTAAATCTCAGCCTCTCTACCCCAGCCTCTAGCTCTCAGCTTTTGCCTTCTTAATGGACACCTTAGACAATGAGGCCTTGGCTGGCACCCCAGGCCTTCTTGGACTCTTGGGGACTTCTGTCTTCCTGGCCAGGTGCACAGGGGCTGTCTTGGACCCACTGCTGCCCTTGGTCTTGGGTGGAGCTGCTGCTTTGGTTTTTGGCTCCTTCCCAGCCCCCTGGGCAGCTGCACCTTTAGGGGCCTTGGCTGTGGTCTTCTTTGTTGCTGGGAAAGCAGCACTATTCTTGCCCTACAAGAAAGAAAACCAGGAGCAGGGCAAGGTTGGGCACAGAGCTCAGAACCCACAAGTACAGGGTTCAGCCCCAGCTCTGGTAGGTTTGGACAAGTGGAATCACTGCTCTGAGCCTCAGTTCCTTACTTGTAAAATAGGATGGAATACTCCAGGTTACGAGAGGTCTAGGCAGGAGAAGGTGAACTGTGCTTTGTAGGTGGAAAAGTGCCCCCCACCTTCTCTGGCTGAGCCCCACAGTGGCAGGGAATTGGATTAGCCTTGGCCTGTTCAGATGGACCAGGACAGCTACACAGCACCTACCTTGGGAGCCTTGGCTTTGGAACTCTTATTCCCAGCTTTTGTTTTCCTGGGGGCCTCAGCATCTGCTGGAAGAAGGGCTGTGGGGGAAGGACTGTGTTCAGGGGGAACTGCTGGAGGGGCAGGAAGGGGCAGGGCCAGAGCCCTCCATGAGTTTCCAGCCCTCACTGACATCATCTAGTCTGCAAACTGGAGACAACAGTACTGACCTCACAGACTGGTTGGAGGGTTAAATGGATCACGGATGGTGATCACATTCTCCATGCAAAGCATGAAGCAAATGCTCTGCTCCCTGCCCACCCACACCAGAATTTTAACAGGTCTTCAGCCCATCTTCCACGTGGCCACCAGGACACACTTTTAACAATCACACTGACCCCAGCTTTCCCCCATGAGGCAGTGGTAGAATTCTCTCCTTCCACACAGGAGAGCTGGGTTTGATTTTCAGCCAATACACCACACGCACAGCTACCACTCATTTGTCAGTGTAAGCTTGTGTGTTGCTATGATATTAAATAGGTTCCAGAGGATCTTTCAGACTAAGATGGGCTAGGGAGAAAAGCCTAGCAATCTACTTCTGACAATCAGCCAATGAAAATCCTATGGATTGCAGCAGTCCCATCTACAACTGATCATGGAGATGGTGCAGGACTAGGGAGTGTTTTGTTCCACTGTGCATGGGGCTGCTATGCGCTGGGGGCTGACCAACAGTGGCTAATAACAGAACCTTTCTGTGGCTCCTTCCTGCCCTCCAGATAAAAGTCCCGCTTCCTGTCTGCCCTGCACAGCCTTCCCCTTCAGCTCCTGCTCCCCACACTGCAGACAGACAGATCTGTAGTCACTCGAAAGCTCCTCTCCTTTATGTCTCCAAGCAGTTCTCCTGCTTGGGACACCCCCTCTAGGCAGTCTCCCCAGACTCCTACATCAGATAAGTCAGGCTTCTCCTCTGGGCTCCCAGTACCTCTCTGCTTCCTCACTCACAATCCTTTAAATGTCTGCCCCATTCTCTACTACTCCCTTCCACCACCACCCCAGCTACCACAAGTCTCGGTTTCCTGAGGTCAAGCTGAGCCCCCCAGGTACATTTACTAGAACCCTCTCCCTAGAGCTGGACCCTGGGCCACCCTCCATCCCTCATCTCATGACCACCCCATACCCTTCTCTACCCATTCCCACACCCACCTTGGCTGCTGGTGCTACCTTTGACAGTTGACTTCCTGCTGAGCCCAGCAGCACTGGGAAGGGCCTTTGTGGCTTTCTCTGCTTTGGGGGCTTCCTTCTTGGCCTCATCCAGTTTTGCCACCTTGGTCTTGTCTTTGTCTCCTTTCTTGGGGACCTTCTCCTTGGTTGTACCTGGCTTGAGGGGAATCTTCTTCACCTTACTTGGCTTCTTGGGTGCCTTTTTCACCTTGTCCAGGTTGGGAGGGTCCTTCTTTGCCTTGCTGGGGTTCTTGGGGCCCTTCTCTTTGGCCTCACCAGGTTTCCTGGTAGCCATGCTGGTGGACATCTTTCTGGGCTGGTTTACCCTTTTTTTCTTGGCAACTAACTGGAGGAGGAGGAGAGAAAGGGGTGGACTTGAGAGCAGAAGTTCTGAGCATCTCATATCCTAACAGCCTGTGTAAGATTCAGGGGAAGAAGGGCCCATTCCAGGGGAGGGTGCTAAGAAGGTGGTTCAGGGTGTGGGGAGAAGACACACGACTGTGACTCAATGGGCATCTGCCAAGGGGGACCTGACACTCAGAAGTGACTTGCCTGCCTGAGGTCCCACAGCCACTAACACCCTACTGTGTCTGTGTCCTCCATCCACAGGGCGTGGATAAGCAGCTTTTTGAGCTTAGTGAAAGCAAAAGCTCGCTCAACTCACTGCCATGTTCTGAAGCTTCAAAGCTAGGCTTTTGGAAGCACATGTCATGCACTGTGAACCTTGAATCCTTTTCTCCTTTTCTCCCTTCCCCTTGTCCATAAAGATGCTGAGTGCATGACCCTCCCATGAGTCTCTCCCTAAAGACCAGGTCCCCTCTCCCCGATGCCCAGCAGATGTGTGCTGCAGCACCATTACCGCTTCCCTACACCAGTCTCCTCATCTTTCCTCATCTCCACAAGAGAAATAAACTCCCCACTGGGAGGGATGAGCATCAGGGGCTAGAGGACCCCCAACAAACAGGCAGTCCCTGCCCCTCCAGAGCCCCACTCTGATGATGTTACTGCCCTCACCCCAAATCTTCAGGCTCCTATTGGCCACCAAGATCAGAAACCACACCCCTACCCCCACCTGAACATAAGTATCCCAAACTCCCCAACACCTTGGCCCTTACTTGCCCTCACTCCCCCTGCCTCTCCTCCCCTCTCCTCCCTCAGCCTGCTTTCACGACTGGCTCGCAGACTCGAGAGTCTAACTCCCAGTGCCCCTCTCTGCTTACCTCCTCCACTTCCTACATCACCTTCCTCCTTTGGACTAATATCTCCTGCCCTGGGTCAGGTTCTAGGCTATTCTATGTACTCCTCTTGATGGGAGGAGACACTTATTGACCTCACTTTACAGATGGTGAAACTGAGGCTTGAAGAGGATGAGTCACTTGCCAAAGTCACACAGTTACTAAGAGCCAGAACTAGGATTCAACCAGAGAAATGGCCACCCTAGACCACAGGCTCTCCATCACTACTCTCTCTCACGCAGTGAGGGAGAGCCTCCTTCTTAAGCCCTCTGCTCTGTGGGAACAGCCCCTGAGTTCACCCAGCCTACCTACATGGCTTTGCCACAGTTTGTGTTCTTGTCCAGGAGTTCCATGAGGGCGGGACTTCCTGTGATCAGTCACAGGTTTACCACAGGGGCTGGCACATGACAGGTTCAGAATGTTCCACAGTGTTCCGTGGCAAATATCAGACCAACTGCTATGTCCCAGATACTGGGTAAGATGCTAGGGTGCACCAATAATAACAAGAGATCCCATGTTTGAGATTTCCCTGGTGGCAGCTGACAGTCACTATGCTAGGGTTTGATTTTGTCTCCGCCCTCAGCTCTGGGTAACCCTGAACAGGACTCTCTCAGAACCTCAGTATCAGGCTTGGCTCCTCCCCTTTGAAAGGGGAAGAAGTAGAAGCTCAGGAGAGGCCAGGCCTTGTCTTGGGTTTGGAGCCAGAGAGAACAGGGAACAAACCCCAGCTCCATGACCTTCTAGAGCCAGGGTCTGGTTTGCCTCATCGGTGGTGAGGAATTCTGGGAAGGGGCCGTGGGCACCAGGCCCCAGGAGTGAGCCCAGCTCACACAGCTTTGATCTCATTGAAGAGGATGGGACACCCCTAAGGTGATAGGGACCATGGGGGCTCAGGTGGGACACACAAACCAGCCTTCCTGGAGGGAAAGGTGTCTCAGCTAAGACCCACAGGAAGAGTAAGGTGAGAAGACAGAAGGAGGAAGGCACTTTTCGGATGCCTAGGTTGAGAGAAAAGCAGGAGCCAGGACTAATGTCCAACCCAGGTCCTGAAGCTTCCTGGTCCCTCCTGCCTGGTGGGCTTACTTTGAAGCTGCCAGTAGCCCCCTTGGCCTTAGAGTTGAGGGGCCGGATGAGGAGGCCGCGGTTGAGGCCCTTGGCCAGGGCCTGCTTCAGCAGGTACTTGAACCGGATGATGCTCACTGTTGGGTATTTCTGCAGGATGTACTGCTTGATGGCCACCACTGAGGTGCCTTGTCGCTGTTCCCCTGCTTGCAGGGCCTCCAGCACCATGCGGAGCACTGTGGGGTTGCGGCGCTGTGCTTGGACACCGCAGTGGCTTGGACCTGTGGGTGGACAGTAGAGTATCACCAGGCGCCCTGGCCATGCCCCAGCCCCATGCAAGGCCTGGACTTGGCGAAGCACATACCAGGTGCCCGCCAGATGTCAGGCTCCACAGTGGGCAAGGGTCTAGGTAAAGGACAAACACACACCCAGCCACTGTCACTGACCACCAGCCCACAGGATCCCTGAGCACAGGGCCATGGCCCTCGGGCCCACTGTGGGGCTGGCACACATCCATTGACCTCACTGAAATCTCTCTTGTTAAAGAATTAAGTATTCTTTGAGGAGCAAAACAAAGCTCGAATCAGCTAAGTCTCTAGATCTAATGACCATTTTTCCAGGAAAGAGAGGGTTCTGTGAGATCACCACAGGATGCAATCAGCAAAATCCGGATGGTGAGAAACCCTCCCAGATGTACAACCTGCTTTCTTCTCCAAATAAAGAAGAAGGAAGAGAAAAAGAGGGAGGTGCTACCGATAGAGTAAATGATCCTTAAGAGACTGTCTACCAAATGCACCTCAGAGTCCTTGCTTAGTCTCAAAGAATGATTTAAACAATCCAACTGGGGATGTGGGGGAGGTAGCCAGGCAGATGTGCACACTGGGCATATTTTTGATGATGTCAAGGGGGATATTAATTGTTTCAGGTGTGCTAATGGTTTTTGTTTTGTTCTTTTACCATTTTTAAAGGCTTTCTTATTTACAGATAAATATCAATTATTTATAGATAAAATGATAAATCTGGGATTCACCTCAAAATAACCCAGTAAGTGAAACAAGAGTGGCTGTGAGCTCATAACTATTGAAGTTGGGCGATGAGTGCATGGTATACCATTCTGTCTACTTCTGTGTCTGTTTGAAAGTCTTTATAATGAAAAGGTACCAAAAAATTCCACTGTATGTACTGTATGTATATACCCAAGAGAAATGAAAACATGTCTTCACAACAACTTGTACACCAATGTTCATGGTAGCACTATTCACAATAGGCAGAAGTGTCTACTTGGGTGGATACCCAAGTGTCCATCAGCAGATTAATGGATAAACACAACATGGAATACTCATACATGGACTGTTAGGCAGCCATAAAGAGTGATGAGGCATGAACACATGCTACAACAGTGGATGCACCTTGATGACACTGTGCTCGCTGAGTGAAAGAAGCCAGACATAGAAGGACTGCACATTGTATGACACCATTTATATGAAATGTCCAGAAAAAGGAAAATCCATAGAGATAGAAAGGGATTAGAGGTTTCCAGGAGTTGGGACAGGAGAATGGGGAGTGACTGCTAATGGGCAAGAGGTTTCTTCTTGGGGTGATGAAATGTTCTAAAATGAATTGTGTGGATGGTTGCACAACTCTGTGATTTAAGTTGGCCCTCGATATCTGTGGGTTCTGCATCTGCAGATTCAACCAAACACAGATTGAAAATATTCAGGGAAAAAAAAAGCAATTAAGTAGTCAAAACAATTTCTCAAAGGCTAAGAGGGAGCACCAAGTTATTTATATAGCATTTACATTGTATTAGTTGTTATAAGCATTCTAGAGATGATTTAGAGTATATGGGAGGATGTGTGTAGTTTATATGCAAATACTACACAATTTTATGTAAGGGACTTGCACATCCCCGGATTTTGGTATCCATGGTAGTCCTGGAACCAATACCCCACAGATACCAAGGGACGACTGTATATTAAAAACCACTGAATTTACACTTTAAGTGGGTGAATTGTGTGGTATGTAAATTATATCTCAGTAAAGCTGTTATAAAAAAGTTAGGAGACTCAAGGAAGAGAGGGAAAAGCATGAGAAGTTGTCAGGCACCATAAGGTGCACAAAAGTGATTTAAACATGGAACACAGTTTAAACATGGTGATTTAAACATGCTTTAAAAATGGTGATTTCTGATCAATTTGCAAAATTTAAAGACTCAAAAAAGAATCAATTGCCTAAAAATTAAGTTAAGAAAAAAATTAAGGTAAAAAAATAAACCCATCTGGCTATAGTAAACGGACTCTGGTAGAATGGGAGAAAAATGTGGAACAGAGACTCAAATATCAAGAAAAATCACCCAGACTTACTGGTCTGGTTGAGAGTGGAGGATCCCTCCCCCAACACACAAGACTATTGTCTTGAGATAGTCTTCAAACCTTGAACCAAAGATAGCTATCCATGTCCCCTTTTAGTTAAATAACAGATTGGCTCACAAAATAAAGGACATCACCTGTGCTGCTCCGTTAAAAAAAAAAAAAAAATCACCAATATGAGACCAAATGGTTAACAATTACTCTGAAACAAAGATGAGAAAGTAAGGGGTCAGGGAAACTAGATGAATGGAAACTGAACAACTAGAATGGAAATGTTAAGGATATTCCCACATTACGAAGAATGTAACCAATGTCACTGAACGATTTGTGTAGAAACTGTTGAATGGGAATCTACTGTGTAAACTTCACCAAAAACATAACAAAATATTTTTTGAAAAAAAAGGAAAAACCCACCTGGAAACTCTAGAGAAGAGCAAAAATTGCTAAGAAGCCTAAACAATTTAAATCCAAGCCCAGTTGCATCCTGGCCAAGAAGAGCCCAGTATCCAGGAGGATTTACTTTGGGATTAAAGCACGTTGATTGGTGGAGACCCACCTCAGCCAACCCTGGAACCCGGGGAGTTTGCTCCATTTTCTGGGCCTCAGTCTTCCCATCTGTACGGGGGGCGGGGGGCCTTTAGGGGTTTAAGCTCTCCCAGCTCCAGGGTTATGGGGTTTCCTGGAGTGGTCCTCCAGACTGATCTCAAGTAGCAGTTCCAACCCCTCCCCTGGTCCCCAAATCCACACCCAGCCCATAGGAGCCACCCCCATGTCCCCATATTTGCCACTCCGAGACCTATGTCCTCTCTCCTACTAAGTCCCAGCCCCTCCAGGTAGGAGGTCCTTCCCAACAACAATCTTTCCACATCTTCCCACGTGTTTCTCTCTTTCTTCTTCTCATTCTAGCCTTCCCTCTCCATTCCCATGGACCCAGCCTCTTTCCCCTTCCAATCCATTCTCCCCCATCACATTCCCCATCCCTTACTCCCCTGCTTAAAACTATCCATTGCTCCCCACTGCCCTCAGTGTAAGTGTGATACTCTTGAACATGGCCTGAAAGCCTAGACTAATAGGCCCCTGGCCTGCCTCTCACCACTGCCCCAAACTCTGACCCTAGCCAACAGGAAGCTTTGCAGCTCCCCAAATGAGAGCGCTCACCCCTGAGTCTTTGCCCATGCTGTTCCCTCTGCCTGGGATGCTGTTCTCCTACTTGGTCCCCCAGGCAACTATCACTCATCCTTCAAGACCCAAAGAGCACTTGGGTTTAGACACTTTCCCTGACTTCCCAAGTCAGAGGGAGCAACTCCACCCTTATGCTCCAGTAAGCATCCAGAACCATCAAGTAGCCTTGCAAATGCTAAGAACACTTGCCCTGCCCTGTCCCTCTTATCCAGCCTCCAGAGGTCACCTCCTTCAGGAAGCCTTCCCTGACCTCCCAGCCTGGATTTCCTCCATTAAATCACATGTCACATATTAAGTGGTATCTACTAATGAGAAGCCTGGTAGCAATTCAGAGGAATGAACTGGGTTTAGTTTGCCTCAGTGGGCCCCACAACCAGGTCATTATCGATTGAAAATTGGAATACAGCCTCAAAGCCAAACACTCCTTGCTCCAGTGTCTTCAATTAGTTGCCCTGCCCCTATGGCTGGCCCCCCTCCCTGACAGGAAATGGGCTCCAGCTGGAGCAGCCCTGCTTCCCTTCTTACCTTGAGCTGGGCTGGCCAGCCCCACTACCTGTGACATCACCACTTTTCCCACAAGGGCAGTTGAACTCAACAGCCTCTAGGGTGGGTGCTGAGGGGGCAAGCTTGAAGAGAAGGAGGGATGTGGGAGGAGGAAAGGCCCAGGACAGCCCAGGGAATGGGCTCGCAAAGACAAGGTAGGTGTTTCATCTCTTTGCTCACCTGCTTTCTCAGACTCAGACAACCCCTCTGAGGAGGCCTCCGAGGTATCACTGGAAGCATAGCTGCCTGGAGCCATCAGACAGGCAGGTGTAGGATGCCAGCTGCCCCTCCCCGCAGGAAGTAGAGCCTGGCCTGCCTCCCCTGTCTTATATACCCCAGCCAGCCCAGCTCTCCAATCAGCCCCTGATTGGGCTGGGAGCAGCTGAACTGCTGATTGGCATGGGAGAGGGGAGTGGGGCACTGCAGCCCTGCTTCCCTGGCCTGGGGCCCACACTCCTGTGTGACCTTGGGCCAGTTGCTTGACTTCTCTGGGTCTCAGCCCCCACCAGGAAAATGATGGGTATTAGGGATGTGACTACGTGAAAGTCGATCCCCTGAGGATAGTGGGGTTGGTCTGGGGAGCTCAGGCCGCCTCTTCACTCATTCTATCTGGACTATCCTAAACTGAGATTTCAGCCTCTCCCAGGCCCTCAGTCAGCCAGGGCTAGAGTGTTGATAGTGGAATTGGAGACACCTGGGTTGCCAATGTGAACACTGAGGTCCTCCAATTCCACTGACTGGGTGGCAGATGGCCCCAGGGTTTGCTCTTGTTTCCAGGCCACTGCTAGCCTCAGTTTCTCAACAAATAGCAGTTGGAGACAGACCAGTGCGGTTTGCTGGAAGCAGACACATGCAGGCTAGATGACAGACTCTCCAGAGGCCAGCCAGTCTCCCAGATTCCACAGCTTTCCTCCTGTTCTGTTTTTTAAAGAAAGAAATCTTTAAGGGATGAAAAACCCATTTTTAAATAAAATTGTTTAGCAGAAGTCTTTGTAAATAAGGACACTATCCCTTGGGAAAATGGGCAAAGGCTTTGAATAGGTAATTCACCAGAAGGACTGATAAACACAGGACATATGCTCAACCTCCTGGGTGTTCAGGAAAATGCAAATTGAAACAATGACGAGATTCTATTTTTGCCATCAAATTGACAGAAATTGAAGACAGAATGTTGACAAGGATGCAGGGAGCCAGGTCCTCACATCCCAGGTTAGGGTATAAATTGGGGCAGCAGCCAAGTATGAGAGAGCAGCCCAGCCAGCCGCTCCACTTCTAGGACTCTGTACATTCAGATATGTGCAGAAAAATGCCTACAATGATGTCTGTTGCTGCATTGTTTGGAAAGAAAAAAAAAAAGAAGAAGAATTTACCTCCAAGCAAATTTCT